GGAACTCTGTGGGATCTCTCATTTTTTAATTTAATTTAATTTTTTAAAAGGTTTCATTTATTTGAGAGAGAGAGACAGAGAGAGAGCGAGAGAGCACGAGCAAGGCAGAGGGAGAGGGAGAATCAGAATCCCCACCAAGCAGAGCCCAGGACTCTGGGATCATGACCTGAGCTGAAGGCAGTCGCCCAACCGACTGAGCCACCCAGGTGCCCCTGCGGGATCTCTTTTATAATCCCATTTGTGAGAGCTCCACCTTCATAAACTAATCACCTCCCAAGGCCCCACCCCCTAATGCCATCACATTTGGGGTTAGGATTTCAATATATGGATTTAAGGGGACACAAACATTCAGACCATGGCAGGGATTATTTACAGTAATGCATAATAGGGGCATCTTGGGCAATAAAGGAGGGGGCTCGTGTCCATGTTTGAGGTGATTCCACCAGATGTTCAAGAAGGCTCAGTATATCCCGGGGGGAAGATAGAATGAATTCTGTTTTTGCCTGCCCAGGCTCTGTTCCCCACCTTCCAATTACTGCAGGGGATCTGTGGGGAATCACCCATCCTTCCAGGTTTATAGGGCAATACACCTCATTCCTAGCGCCACGAGTGAGCACAAGACCCAGCTGTGACCAATCAGCATCAGCCATCCCTCTGGCTACAGTGATTGGTTCAGAACCCGGAGCATGTGACTCGGAGCTAGACCAATGGGAATTATACCCCAGCCTCTTTTTTTTTTTTTTTTTTGCCGGAGTTGTTAAAGGCCATTTTGGGCCCTCTGTTGGGATGATGGAGTCAACCCGGAAGAAAAGAGATCTGAGAGGACCACGGTGATGGAAACGGAGTCTGAGGACACTGAGCATCCGGCCGCGACTCCTGAGCTAGATTTTGCAGTCATGCAGAATTCATGTGCAGTCGTGCAGTCACGTAAGCCAATCGATTTCACTTTTTGCTTCAGCTTGGTTCTTGAGTTGGGTGGTTGTGATTTTTCACCCTAAGGGATCTTGACACGTGGTGGATGCAGAGAAACCTGAGGGGAAGAAGAAGTACTCCAGTTATCTTAGCAAACGGAATGGCTGTCTCAGTGGTTGACCTGTCGGGTCAGCTAAAACAATCATCTGCACTCTCGCCTCCTCCCTCCGACTGGGGCAGTTCATCTCAGTGCAGGTGGTCATCCAACAGGAATCCCCATATGGCCTTCATGTCCTTTAGACTATTTTTCTTACGTGGGCATTGAAGAGTACGTTTTGAAAATGTTAAAACTCCGGCAGAAGTGGAGTGTCAGATGATGACAGGGGGGCTGGCTACCAAAAAAGTTGTATATTTAAAATACAGCTGCAAACTGTATATTTTTCAGCTACATTTAGAGCAGAGAAACAAGGGTCTCCTGTACCATTTGTCTCTTCTGTTGTTGATTAAGGTTGCCTTTTTTATTTTCCTCAAACAGAATCATGTTTATGCTCTTGTGTCCTGAGACAGGGTGAAATTAAGCTCTGTTAATATTTTAAAACCATGAGCTCTGGCAGCTTTTGCCTTCTGCCAATCTGAGTACACCTACTTTGAGTGTTTCTGAAGTCACATATTTTGTTTGTTTGATGACACCAAGTCACAACTGTATTCCAGAGACTTGTGTCTCTCGCCAGGGAGTTTTCTGTGCAAATGAAACTTCTTCTTCTTCCTCTTCTTCTTCTTCTTCTTCTTCTTCTTCTTCTTCTTCTTCTTCTTCTTCTTCTTCTTCTTTTTTTTTTTGCTATAATGCCTTGTCAAAGTTTGTGTTAAGACTCAGGAACTAGGGGGCGGAGCAAGATGGCAGAGGAGTAGGAGACCTGGATTTCATCTGGTCTCAGGAATTCAGCTGAATAGGGATCAAACCATTCTGAACACCTACGAACTCAACAGGAGATGGAAGAGAAGAGTAGCAACTACTCTCTGAACAGAGAAGCGACCACTTACTGGAAGGGAGGACGTGCGGAGAAGTGAACCCGAGGCGATATTCGGGAGGATAGACGGTGGGGGAGGGGGCCTCCGTCGGCCACTTCTGGCAAGTGATAGAGCCAAGGAGCACAAAATTGGAACTTTTAGAAGCCGGCTCCACGGAGGGACGTCGCTCCAGTGGCTAAGCGGGAGGTGGAACCCTCGTGGGACAGTGTGGTCTCAGGACCCTCGGGGTCGCAGAAAGACCGGGGGTGCCTGAGTGTGGCAGACCTCCCAGGTATCAGAGCAGGGAAGCCGGCTGCAGAGACGGAGCCGAGGCGCGGGCTCTCAGCTCGGAGTGGCCATAAACTGTGATCCGCGGCCCAGTTGGGCCACTGCTCCTCCAGCAGGGACCCAACAAGCGGCAGAGCTGGGGAGACTCCCCTTCCTCGCCGGGGAGGAGCGGCACGGGAGCGCACCGCAGGGATCTGCTGGGTTTGGAGACTCCACACGGGGTCGGGTGCCAGAGATAGAAACGCTCGGTCACAGGCCGGGTGAGCACGGAGTGAGGACGGAGACTGGGAAGACGGGAGTGACTGACTGCTTTTCCCTGGGGGCGCACTGAGGAGCGGGGCCCCGAGTTCTCAGCTCCTCCGGGTGGAGATTGGGAGGCCACCATTTTAGCCCCGGTCCTCCAAAGCTGTACCGAGAGCTTGCAGGGAACAAAAGCTCCTGAGAGCAAACCCGAGCAGCTTGCTTAGCCCGGACCGACAAGGGCGGGGCAATTCCGCCTCCGGCAAAGACATTTGGGAACCGCGGCAACAGGCCCCTCCCCCAGAAGATCAGCACGAACAGCAAGCAAGCCAAGACCAAGTTTACCGATCAAGGAGAACGGGAGAACTCCAGCGCTAGGGGAATACTGCACATAGAATTCATGGCTTTTTTTTTTTTTTTTTTTTTTTACCATGATTCATTAGTTTTTCAAAGTTAATTTTTTTAACTGTTTTTTTTTTTAATTTTTCTTTTTCCCTTTTTCAACCAACATCTTATCCATCCCTTTTTTAAAAAAACATTTTTTATTTTTCATTTTTAGAGTCATATTTTATCCCTTCATAGTAGTTACCCTTATTTTTGGCATATATATATAAGTTGTTCTCTTTTTAAAATTTTGAGATACAGTTTCTTCTAACAGATCAAAATATACCCTAAATCACTAGTGTATGGCTTTGTTCTACTCTCCTGCCTGATCACATTCTCTCCCTTTTTTTTCCTTTTTTTTTTAAATCTTCTTCTTTCTTTTTTCAACACAACCTCTTATCTTATCAATTCCTTTTATAAAATCTTTTATAATTTTCATCTTTACAGTCATCTTCCATCCCTTCATTGTATCAACCCTTATTTTGTATATATAAGTCTTTCTTCCTTTAAAATTTTAGGAGGCACTTTTTTCTAACAGACCAAAATACGCCCAAAATCTAGTGTGTGGCACTGATCTATGCACTAGCCTGATCATATTTGATCATATTCTGGGTTTTTTTGTATTGTTCTGTTTTTATTTTTATCTTTTTGTTTTTTTTTCTCTCTTTCTTTTTTCTTTCTTTCACTTTCTTTTCCCCTGGTTTCAGGTCTTTTCTGAATTGTATAGAGTATATTTGCTGGGGATGTTGTTAACCTGTTAGCATTTTGTTCTCTCATTCATCTATTCTCCTCTGGACAAAATGACAAGATGAAAAAAATCACCTCAGCAAAAAGAATAAGAGGTAGTACCGTCAGCCAGGGACCTACTCAATATGGACATTAGTATGATGTCAGACCTAGAGTTCAGAATCATGACTTTGAAGATACTAGCTGGGCTTGAAAAAAGCGTGGAAGTTATTAGAGAAACCCTTTCTGGAGAAATAAAAGAACTAAAATCTAACCAAGTCGAAATCAAAAAGGCTATTAATGAGGTGCAATAAAAAATGGCGGCACTAACTGCTAGGATAAATGAGGCAGAAGAGAGAATCAGCGATATAGAAGACCAAATGATGGAAAATAAAGAGGCTGAGAAAAAGAGAAGCAACTACAGGATCACGAGGGCAGAATTCGAGAGAGAAGCGATACGATAAGATGAAACAACATTAGAATAATTGGGATCCCAGAAGAAGAAGAAAGGGAGAGAGGGGCAGAAGGTATATTGGAGCAAATAATAGCAGAGAACTTCCCTAATGTGAGGAAGGAAACAGGCATCAAAATCCAGGAGGCACAGAGAACCCCTCTCAAAATCAATAAAAATAGGTCAACACCCCGACATCTAATAGTAAAACTTACGAATCTCAGAGACAAAGAGAAAACCCTGAAAGCAGCTCGGGAGAAGAGATATGTAACCTATAATGGGAGAAATATTAGATTGGCAACAGACCTATCCACAGAGACCTGGCAGGCCAGAAAGGACTGGCATGATATCTTCAGAGCACTAAACGAGAAAAATATGCAGCCAAGAATACTATATCCAGCTAGGCTCTCATTGAAAATAGAAGTAGAGATAAGAAGCTTCCAGGACAAACAAAAACTAAAGGAATTTGCAAACACGAAACCAGCCCTACAAGAAATATTGAAAGGGGTCCTCTAAGCAAAGAGAGAGCCTAAAAGTAGCATGATCAGAAAGGAACACGGACAATATACAGTAACAGTCACCTTACAGGCAATACAATGGCACTAAATTCATACCTTTCAATAGTTACCCTAAATGTAAATGGGCTCAATGCCCCAATCAAAAGACACAGGCTATCAGATTGGATTAAAAAACAAGACCCATCAATATGCTGTCTGCAAGAGACTCATTTCAGACCCAAAGACACCCCCAGATTGAAAGTGAGGGGTGGAAAACCATTTACCATGCTAATGGACACCAAAAGAAAGCTGGGGTGGCAATCCTTATATCAGACAAATTAGATTTTAAAACAAAGACTGTAATAAGAGATGAAGAAGGACACTATGTCCTCCTTAAAGGGTCTATCCAACAAGAAGATCTAACAATTGTAAATATCTACGCCCCTAACATGGGAGCAGCCAGTTATATAAGGCAATTAATAACAAAAGCGAAGAAACACATTGACAACAATCCAATAATAGTGGGGGACTTCAACACCCCCCTGACTGAAATGGACAGCTCATCTAAGCAAAAGATCAACAAGGAAATAAAGACTTTAAATGACACCCTGGACCAAATGGACTTCACAGACATATTCAGAACATTCCATCCCAAAGCAACGGAATACACATTCTTCTCTGGAGGAATTCATGGAACATTCTCCAGAATTGATCACATCCTAGGTCACAAATCAGGTCTCAACTGGTACCAAGAGATTGGGATTATTCCCTGCATATTTTCAGACCACAGTGCTTTGAAACTAGAGCTCAGTCACAAGAGCTTACACCACTTAGAATGGCAAAAATTGACAAGGCAAGAAACAACAAATATTGGAGAGGTTGTGGAGAAAGGGCAACCCTCTTACACTGTTGGTGAGACGCAAGTTGGTACAGCCACTTTGGAACACAATGTGGAGGGGCCTCAAAAAATTAAAAACAGAGCTGCCCTTGGCCCAACAATTGCACTACTGGGTATTTACCCCAGAGACACAGATGTAGTGAAAAGAAGGGCCCTATGCACCCCAATGTTCGTAGCAGCAATGTCCGCAATAGCCAAACTGTGGAAAGAGCCAAGATGCCCTTCAACAGACGAATGGATAAAGAAGATGTGGTCCATATATACAATGGAATAATACTCAGCCATAAGAAAAGATGAATACCCAACATTTACATCAACATGGATGGGACTGGAGGAGATGATGCTAAGTGAAATAAGTCAAGCAGAGAAAGTCAATTATCATATGGTTTCACTTATTTGTGGAACATACGGAATAGCACGGAGGACATTAGGAGAAGGAAGGGGAAAATGAAGGGGGGAAATCGGAGGGGGAGACGAACCGTGAGAGACTATGGACTCAGGGAAACAAAATGAGGGTTTTAGAGGGGAGGGGTTGGGGGATGATTTAGCCCAGTATGGGTATTGAGAAAGGCACGTATTGCATGGAGCACTGGGTGCTCTACGAAAACAATGAATCATGGAACACTACATCAAAAACTAATGGTTTACTGTATGGTGACTAACATAATATAATAAAATTAAATTAAATTTTGAAAAAAAGGAACCACAAGTACATGAGAAAGTTATGTAGACCCTCTTTGTCTCCCTCCCCTGTTCTGAGACGTTGAAATGTGAATATGGCCTACTTATTAGTATTATGTTATGAGATTAACAATAATTAAACACAAGGGAAGCCTTAAGAAAAATAAATAAATGGTGTTTCATAATTGCCCTAAGGGTTCAGTCCCTGAATGACGGCAAGAATAAGGCAGACGCTTGGTAGTGGTTGAATCCAGACAAGGCCTTTGGATGGCTCCACAGCAAGGGAAGAGGGAAGCTCGCTCTTAGCTTTTCCATGGGAATGATGGTTTACAGCTCATGGACGATACTGTTACCATCTCCTGTAATCCCCAGGTCAGCCCTATTGAGGTGGGTGGGGGCAGAGCAGAGGTTGTAAGCCATATTCTACAGTGGGAGGCACTGAAATGTAGAGAGATTAAGTGACATGACAGGAGTTACCATACCGATGTGTATGAGGTCTGGGACAGGAATAGAGTTGGTTCCCTGGGGAGAGAGACCCCTGAACACCTGCGACCTGCCCAGGGCACCTGAGATCATGCCCTAAAGCCCTGAACCAAATCACTTTCTCAAACCCTCCTGCCCCGAGTTTTCTGTGGGAGACAGTTGATGCACTGGAGGAGGTGCCTGAGCCAACAGAAAAGTCCAAATCCTAACTAGGCTTCCAAACTCTAGGTTACAATCCGTGACCCAAAACACAAAGCAATTACCCCCAACGGAAGCCCCTCTGAAGGGCTAGGGGAAGCCCAACCTTGGCCGTCCTCCCCCAGCATTCACATTACCAGCTGTCTCACGTGGAACCTTCCCAGTGACCAGTTGACCACTTTAGGGACCAGTGAGTGGTTTGCTCAGCTGCTAAGCTGACTCAGAACCCAGGACATTCCAAACCAACTGTCACATGATGGCTCTGCCAAGAATTAGACTCTTTTTTACTAACCAACCCTGGCTGAGCAGTTACTGTGAACTGACTGGGAAAGTGGCCACCTGGGCTGGTGCTTTGGTGGTGTAATAAATTGAACCTGTGACCTTCCATGTCTCACTGCTTGTGGATCTGAGCGAGTGTCCAAACAGCCTGGCTAAGGTCTGGTTGGCAGCGGCTGTCGGCTACACTGGCTCTGAGTGGGCACCTTCAATGCTCCTCCCTTCTGATGAGTCACTCAATATCCAGCCTTTCCACACTTTTCTCCTTCGCTAGATCCTTAAAGGACAGGAGACAGTGTCCCATCTCTTCTTAGGGGGCCCCCACCATACACCCACAGCCTGCAGACCCCCTCCCCAGGACACCCCCTGAGCACCACCAGACATATTTTCCTATTTTCTATTTCATTCAGGAAACCTCTATGCTGATCATTGCCAATCTTTCTGACCTAGCATGGCCCCACTTCAAATCTAAAATTATCATCTCTAAGCCCACACCATACCCCAGACCTCAAGATTCT